AGTTGTTTAATTTATTACTAGGTATCCGAACCCGACGATAAATTTTTATTGCTAACGGAATATGATTCTACAAGCGATGTTCGGTTAGATATGTTTTGAAATGGCGTATTTAATATTAATGATTGATAAGAAAAAAATTGTCACACAACATATTGATTGTACCTTCCGATCTGTACCAATGACTGTGTCAAATGCCAATGTAAGTCCACTTCTTTCGAGGGGGAGGGAGGGTGATTTCCTCCCATAATGACGCCCCTGATTATGCTCAACTTTCTTATAAATACAATTTATAATTGTCAAACTAATTGTATACATTAAAACTAAATTATTCGAAAATATCAAATGCCTATGTAAATGGCTCAAAAACATATATTTAATAAGATATAGATATTCTGTACAAATTGTATTAATAATTTCCGTTAACATTTTATTATAAAACGCTTATTAAACACTTTTCTCAATNTTCCATATTTGCTGAGAAAACTCGGGGGAAAATGGAATAACGACCTCTCTAAAGTACCTCCCCAGTGAAATTTCCTACGTTTTTCCCTGATTTTTCCCATGTTGTTTCCCGATTTTTCACATTTATTATGAAAAAAAATTAAAAAATGAACCCTCTAAAGTACCACACCGGTCAGATTTCCTTTCGGAAAATGTGCTATACTTGAAAATCGGAGAAGAGTTGTTCACAGACGAAAAAAATAAACATCATTCAATACATTACTCGCTTCGCTCTGGATATAAAATATAAATTAAAATTAATTAACGAAAAAGGATAATGTAGAGATTTGCATAGACTTGGTAATTGGTATATAAGTAGGTGAAAAATAAAAAAAAACTTATGGAGCATATCAATTTTGCTGGGAAATTAACTGCACAGGGTCTCGATATGTTCTAAATCGGACCTGCCTATAAAGTAGTAAAACAAAATGGAAATCACATACCATCTGCGCTGCGGGGTATCACGCGTGACCATTTTCAACTGGGTAAAGATAAATTTATAAAAATTTGACACTCGGTTTGATTGATGTGATATACGCGTCGACACGTGGTGGCTTTGAACCCCACTGTCATGACGTGCGTTATGAAGGGCGAGGGAATAATCTTACCGCCGAATAAAATTAGCTGTATACAAGAATGTGGTAAAAAAAAAAAAAAAAAATATACCCCCATAATTATTAACTTGTATTTTTACACACCATTTTGTACATTTACATGACAATGGGTAAGAAAAATAACAATGATAATAATAAGCCGAATTTTATTCTATAAAGTAAAAAACTATAATCGACAATTGCTGTACACTTACAATATACTCGACTAAGCTGATGTTCCGTAAAATAATATTAAGAAATTTAGCAGGGCTTATTCTAAGGATTTTTATCAACTACGGATTTGATTTAATTTAACCTATAGAAATAGAATCATTGTCTCAAAATATATAATCAAATTATAGATAAAAATGGTAAAATTGTTTTGTTTTTCGGTATAATATTTTAAAATTTAACTTATAAAGTAGAAATAAAATAATAAACAAACGTATTTAAAATATATTATTTTAATTTATTCATCTTTACTTTTTCATAATATTTATATACTCGTACATAACAAATAATTATACAATACAGTTTTAGAACATTATTTTTTAAGTTTGCTCTTCCACAGATTTTCTTTTTTGTTTCTCTAATAAAAATTTCATTTGACAATTTTGTTCTTTAGTATTAAATGTGTTTTTGACGCGGAGTTCATTCTGGTTTAAACTTAGGTATCTGTATTGCTGGTTTCAGGTCCCAATTTCGAATAGTAGGCACGATAAAAAGAATAAAAACATAATCATTTTCAATTTCTACACGTACACTTTGCCGAATTCGCTGGATAGGGTTCGTTAATTTGAGGTGAATCGAAAATAGTGAAACCGGTAACGCCGTAAATTTGTCCGTTTTTTTATTACGTTTTTTACCGACTTTTTTCAATTATTATAAAAACCACTTGGAAAATCAAAAATTACTTCCTCAATGCCTCCCCTCCCAATTACATGAAAATGCAACAAACAAGAGTTTCCTGTCATTGTTTAAATGGACAAATATATCTGGTATAAAAGTTGCTCACAGACAAAATGAGAAAGTCGCATACGTCATGTAATAAAACAAATGCATTCCTTACATAAACTAAACTGAAACATTGTAACGGCAACAAGTCGGCTCACGGGGGAGAGGAGAATTCGACTCTGGCCGAATTCTGCTGCTCAATGGTGTTTTTTTTTTGTTGATAGGGGAGGTCGACAAACGCTCCTTATAGCTACGTCCGCGTGATTCAAACATAAACTTATTTAGTAAGTCCCCCCCCACCCCGCCCAAACAATGAATATACCGACTACGCCTGCACTATTACCGTTTCGTATTAATATTGTTAGGTGAGGTTTCTTATTAAAAAATTTGTGTCCGCCCGGGACGTTTAATAGGTGTGTTATTGTAATGTATTATAATAATTTAACAGCGTTGGCATGGGAACGGCATTGTTGTCCGGGTCCCTAGGATTTTTCTGCGCTACGATCGCATAGATCCCTCGCCGGGGAGCGAGAGGCGCAGGCTAGACAAACGATTTGTATTATTATTCACCCGATGGGCGGATACACCAGCCGTTTATCCCCCTGGACTTTCGCAATCCGCGAGAATATAATGGTCTGTGTAATATAGCGCGACGTGCTCCCCGGCGCGTTTGTTATAGTAGCGTCGTGCTAGTGCGTTTAGATACATATTATTATATTTATACAGAGAGCCGGGTAAAAGGGTTTTATTGTCCGCGATTACCTTCAAAACGGTCGGAAACTGACGAAAAATGTGCTCAGTCATCTCCCCCCTCCCCCTGCAGTAACGTATACATATATCAGGATCGTCGTCGTCGTCGTCGTCGTCGGGGTTGCGACATATTATATTACCGAGTTACCGGGTAGGTACACACGATGGGCGGATAGCCGGATAATATACAGGGTACTACAGGTGTTGTCCGCGAAAAATCCGACTCATCGCCAACCCCCCCCCTCCCACCACTCCCTCCTCCACCCTCGCCACCCCACTGGAACCCGCGACAGAGCGCCGTAATGCTGTTCACCCTTTTGTTGGAATAAAAAAAAAAAATAACGTCTGCCACCGCCGCCGTCGACGTGATGAATATCAAATGTGTATTAAGACTGCTGTCGCTATAGCAGTAGCTATTCAATTTATTATAATATTATTATTATTGTACCATATAATGACGTGATTAGGAATAATACAAAAAAAAAAAAACAAAAAAACCGTACAGTCACGACGTACCGAGTGATTTTGCATACGGCCCGCGTGACAACGGTACTGGCGACAGCACAATATCCGTCCACGCGCATTCAATTCAAATCCCGACATCGATAACAATTATTATTATAAATATAATAACGAGCTGACGAGCCCGGAAGGGAGACACAGAGGAGTTTTTATTTTTATGCGCTCGGTCATGATGCGTTTTAACAGTGATTTCGTTTTTAAACATATCGCGTATTAATATCTTTATAACACTATGCCTTCAATATTAACGGCCATGATAATACATAATTACTATGGACCATAGAAAAATACACGGTTCGCGAATCACATGCAAAAACTTAACCGTCATAATCATTTTGCTATATGTTCGCCATGTAAAACGACCGCTTGTTAAAATTTGTACACGTTTTCGCAGATATTCGAGAACCTAACCTTTAGAACATTGTGGAATACACCTTTTGTTAATAACAGTAAATATCAGTAAGTATCTGTGTTTAAGCTATACATATACTTATAGTTCGGTGCATACCTCGATGATAAATGGTAAATGTTCGAAAAATTATCATAGTAACGTAGATACTCGACGCATTGCCAATATTGTTCAGTTTGTTCGTTGTGCGTTTTTATAGAGTATTAAAGTATTATCATCATCGTTTGCATTGTAATGATTGTCCGCGATGACACACATCTGAAATAAATAAATGCCGATCAGGCCAGTCACATGTGTGAGATAGAAAATATACACTAAACGTGGTCCGTGTAATGTATAGGTACAATAGTTATTCCAAAATTAATACAAGATAAAAATGAAATATTATAGGAACCCTATAACTACTATTTCACTGTAATATTTCGCTTTGGTTCAGTTAGACCAGCGATATTTTATTTCGTCCCGTTACCGCAAACGTTTCGATACCGTTGCCGCTCTGGTTTGTGAGCACCTCGCCGCGAAAATGATCGCAGCATTTTGATACATGTCCAATCGACTCCGAAACCAGGAGCGTATTTATGGGGGGGCTAAATGGGTTTCAGCCCCCCTCCCCAGGGCGCTGCAATATTCTTCAATTACTTTTATTGATCTTAAATCTAACTTTACAGACATTTAGTACCTAATATATATTGTGATAAATGTTATGATATGATACGTTAAATAAAGTTTTAGATATTGAGCGAAGCGAGGAATGTATGGGTTTTACAATGATGTTTATTTTTTTTTTCTCTATGAACAACTTTTTTACCAGTAATTTTGCTCCGATTTACATTGGTATCACTTTTTTTGAAATGAAATCATACTAGGGAGTTACTTTAAAGAGGTAATTTTTCGATTTTTCCAGGAGTTTTCCCAATAAATCGGAAAAAACGGAAAAATAGGTACAATATTAAACAAATATTATTAAAGAAAATATACAATTCGTATGTAATTATTTTACCATAATATGGCATATGTACTGTTGACAAAGCAACACTATCAACCGAACTTCGCTCAGAATCGTTTTTTCGTTAGCAATGGTTAATCGTTGCTTACAGATATACTTTAAATTACCTATAAGTTATAGGCTATATTATTGTACCTACTGCGCAGCGTGCACTCCAGTGTAATCTTTTATCAATATTATAAAATTGGCATTTGATATTTGGATAACCGTTTATCAGATTATTATAATTTTTTGTTCAAATAATAATAATACAAGTATATATAAGGTCGTACATATTTATGTTTCATTTTCATTATCACACAGAAAATCAATAAAATATACTACGTAAATGTTTATAATCTTAATAACCCAATGTACAATAAAATATGGTTATGGTATACTATTATTTTTATTACAAATTGTATAATTTTAAAAACGTTGAGATATGCAATTACATTATCATTATGGATCCACTTGTAGGTTTATTCCCGATTACCGCCTGCTCCACGTTTGTAGGGCTGTCCACAGCTGTTGGTGGATATGTAATTGGCGGATTAGTCTCGCGCAATTTTTCGAGCGCAATACTGGGTTTGGTGTAGTAGAATACTTGGCCCCACTGTAATTTCGGTAACATTTCGAATGCCAAATTCTTATAGTATGCCGTCACAAAGTTCTCGTGTTCTTGGCCCAATCTCTTCAACTCCGGAATATCGACAATTAGGTTGAGCACTTCGTCCATTAACAGATAGTTGATCTTCATCTCCATGTCGTAGAGGAAATGACCGTCTAATAAATACTTAGCGCAGTGGTGTTTTAGAAAATCCTTGATTCGTATGTGAAGAATATCCACGTAGGACTGGGAATTTGTTGGGTATACTTGATATCTGGCGTGGTGGTTGATGTCGTACTGTATCAGGCGAATCGCCTCCCAGTAAAACTCGAATAGATTGGTCAGGTCGGCCGGCCGAATACACAACTTGTCAAGGATCAGAGTAGTAGTAAGCTTGATTCTATCGAGTTCGATTTGTATGACTCCGGGGTCTGCCTTCTTATCGAACATGCGGGATAGGTAGTGTGACTGGAACGCCAGATGTTTTATCGAATAACATGCCAGGGACTTATACAATGCGGAAGCAGCATATTCAACATACGACCCGATGTTCGAGAAATTGTAGAGGATTCGGTAGAGGATGACCCTCGGGTTCGTCTCACCCGGGTTTATGACACCCAGAATCCGGTTGTGGTATGGCACCGCTCCCAGGTTTATAACATGCTCTTTCAGAACGTTCCTCCATTCGTACTCGTGCTCGGCCACGTGATGGAGAAACTCCAGCGAGGTAAAGCTACTAGTATAGTTAATCATCCTTGGCGATACGTGGGAAACGGTCACTGCCAGAGTCAATATCAACAGGGATTTAGCAAAACGCATAGTGTTGTGTTTGCCAAGAACATAAATCGTGACACTGTACTGCGGTTCAGTATTTTTCGTAACCGCGGTGTTAGTTAGCTATCTGTTTGATTATGTTTTTTCGTATAGATACTTACCATACGTTGAAGACACGATCGGTTCCGCGACCCGTACAATAATACCTATGTAACGTGTCAACGAAGACACGCAATCCACGTATGCGATTTACACCGGTCCCCGCTAACGCAAACACAAACGATTTATTAAATTACTGTTGTTTACATTTCTGCCATAGCACGTTTTGTGTATTTTATTATTATTTTGTTTTCGTTACTGTTACATCGTAAAACGCGTTTTCTACAAATAAAATCGAAAAATATTTATTCCCTACTATACTATAGGTCAGGAGTCGTCAACCTTGCGGGTCATACTTTTTTCCAACATTTCATCGAGGGTCACATTAATAAAAAAACCAAATTGTACATATACTCGTATAATTCCTAGTAATAGTTTGATTACTATTAAAAACTATAATATAAATTTAAATCAGTGTTATGTTACATATGAATATTTAATAAAATAATATAATAAAAAAAATTTATTAAAATGGTTAAAACTCATATAAATATATTCATATACATAATACATTTTAAAGTTAAATTTATAAAAAAAATTGACATGCTGATTCTGTTATTGGATTTATCTACGTTCTCAAAGATAAAATATAAATTATCCCAAGAATCGGTGATAAATCCATATTTATTGCAAATTTGTCTGATTAAATATAGTATATGAAATTAGGGTTCAGGAAGTAAATAACTTTGAACCCTTATAACTCATCAAAATAAACGCTTAAAATATGTTTTAATACAGTCGACATAATAATCTAAATAATGGTAACTTCTAAATAATAAAAAAACGAGTTTTGAATACTTAACGAAAACCAATAAACTAGCTCGTACGTTGAAGAAGATTAGGTAAAAAGATATTCCTTTTTTTTTAGAAAATCACGGAAGTAATAAAAAATTAAGACCACCAACCAGCTATACATTGAAAACTGCATAGGACTAATTCGATATTGTATCCATAATTATCCACGAAACTGAAACCGTGACTCATTATGAATCATATATCATAATATATTATTTATATTTATGATAATAATCATATAATAATAGATCAATAATATTATATTGAAAACTAGAATTTCTCCCCGTCACGGTCGTTTTCACAAATTATAAATAATTGTATTGCTAAACTGTTTTAATATTTGGTGTATATTTTTACAGGTTAAGTTATTATGTATTTTTCTGAATTCTGAAACATTTATTATTATTATAAAATGAAAACATTTTTGCCGTTCAATTTTGTGTACAATTCAAACACTATATTGTTTTATTTTAAAGAATTGTGTTGATAAATCAAAAAATGTATGGAACTACAAGTACAATTAATTTTTTTACTTTTACTTTACCTTTAATTTTCTTCCACGCAACAATTTACTATCTTTAAAATGTAACTGATATCTAATTTATTTGTATCTCGGTGACTCAATTCGTATGATTATTGTTTGTTTTAGATTGTGAGTAGGAGCGAAGAAACTTATAGTTTTACAAAGATGTACATTTTTTTTTTCCTGTAAAAAACTTTTCTACCAGCAGTTTTGTTTCAACTTTAAATGATAGTAATTTTTTTAAAAAGAAATTTCACTGGGGAGATACTTTAAAGAGGTTATTTATCAATTTTCTCCGCATTTTTTTCAATAAATGATGATTTTCGTACCGAATAAATCAAATCCCCGTATGAGCTACCCTTTGTGATTGAATTTCGGAAATCCAGTTTTGAAGTGCATTCGAACAGGGTCGGACTGGATACTATGGGCCTCACCAGCAATTCTGTTACAGAAGGCCTCAGTGACAGTCATAAATCATAATTAAAAATTTACTTAAAAAAGATGATTAATTTTTTTCGCCGAAAATGATCAGAAATTAATAAACAATAAATATATAAATAAATAATTTGCAATTACTACTAAAAACAGCATATTTATCATTATTACTGTTTTTTTCAATTAAATTAATTTACAATTTATTCTTTAGTGATTTTTAGCTTTTTAGGGATCGATTGTAATTAGATAAAAAAGATAAATTATCAAAATTAACGGTACCCCATTTTAACAATTATAAAAACAATTATTTATTAATTTAAGGCAACGATGAAAATATAGGTGTTATAAAAGAATATGTATAAAATTCAGATGCTTATTATTATTAGTGTTTATTATTAAAACAGTATAAAAAAAAAAATTAAATAACAATATCAGTTTTATTTAATTTTAAGTACAATTTTTAAGTTATAAATCAATGTAATTATCAAGATAAATTTGAGTCTAAAATAACAATCATTAATCGAGCTATAAAGACATTGATGAATTTGTAATTTGCAATGAAATGAAAAAATTGTTATTTTAGACTTAAATACAATAGTATTAGTAAAAAATATTAGTAATAGTAAATACAATTTAGTAGTTTTAGAAAAATTTAAGTCTTAAATAACAATTGTTTCATTTCATTAGATGTATATGCAAACTCATCGATAATGTCTTCATAGTTCCATTTGGAAATAATATCTGCCTCAGAATTTATTAAGATAAAGGATTCTAACAAGTCTTGACCAATAAGTGATCTGTGTTGAGTTTTAAAAATCTTAAGTTTAGAGAAAGAACGTTCACATGAGACTTGGATAAAAGAAAGTGTTAACAAAGTTCCATATGCAATAAATAAATCTGAAACACTACTATGTAAATTAAAATCTTGTAATGATTTAATTACATATGGATTGCACTTTTTAAACTTTTTATCAGTGGAACAAAGTGTTAAAATGTCTTCATCATTTTCTGAATCAGAATAAGAGTTGGAATTTTCTGATTCAACTGCAGTCACGTATGATTTATACTCTATATTATGTTAATTGGATACAAAAGATATTAATTAAACATCTCGTTCAAGACTACTCGTTTTTGCCAGAGACTGTAAAGCTTCTTATAGAATCACCATCACATCTTCATTTATTCTTTTAAAATGTCTAGGGTCCAAGTTTGAAGTATCTTGCTTAATTTTATTTGAATCAACAAACCTTGCACTAATTTGTGTAAATGCAGTATCAATTACAACTTGATAGACACTGACGCGAAATTTGTGTTTATCATATTTAAATGCACTTGGTGACTCATCAGCTGCAGTTTCATCAAACATTTTTTTGACTTTCCGTGATCGTTTTTTTGATAGTATTGTCTCAATTTCTAATATCAATTTTATTTTTAGTTGAAAGAAGTTTAAAATGATAATGCGTGGTGACTTTAACTACCCCCTTATTAATTGGTCTAAAAGTAATTTAGGTTTATCCGAATCTGGCAGTTTGTCTAACATTTCTGCCTATCTCGTAGATTCTGTCTCGCACTTTAATTTTTACCAGCTAAATAAAGTAACTAATACCCGAGGATACCTTTTTGACCAAGTTTTTTTCTAGTTCAGTTGCTCCTACTATCATAATATCTGACACTCCAATCGTTTCCCCTGATTCCTATCGCCCTCCTATATTTAAATGTTTCCCTATTCAATCATCCATAACTTCTCAAGAAACTCATAAATATTGATGTTATAAAAATAATGATTATAAATCTGTGCTCTATTATTTGGGTTCTTTTGATTGGGAAAATACTTTTTTTCTTTACTTAGTTGATGATTCTGCTGTTGTCTTAAACGATAAATTTCTAAGCGCCATTAATAAGTTTATTCCCATTAAATTATTTTCACCTTCTAAATTCCCTAAATCTAGTATTTTCAAAAACCTCATAATATATAAAAAGAAAGCCTATGTGGTTTATAAGCAAACCAAATTGATTTTATCTTTTTTTCCGAATTAAGAGCAAAATGTAATCGCCAATCAAAAATGAATTACTCTATTCATATTAGTCACAGAGGAAGCATTGTCATCCTCCCTCGCCAGCTTTTGTAAATATGTCAATAATTTAAAACAGAAACATCCAATTCCTTCTTCAGTCTGTCTCAACAACGTTACCTCAAATACTCCATCCAAATCTGTAAAATTGTTTTCAGTCCATTTCTCCTCAATATTTAACTCTTCTGTTCTCCAACCTCCTCCAAATACTGGCTCATCTGATTGATCATCGTATGAACTTCCTTCTAATAAAACTTTTTCTGTCAATGATGTATTATTAGCTTACTAAAACTCACTAAAACATACTTACTCCAACGGCCCGGATGACATAGCCGTTCAATGTTTGTATAATTGTCGCTATTCTATTGCTTTTCCTATTTACTTACTGTTCAGAAGCTTAATAGACTCAGGGGTTTTCCCTACTGTTTGAGAAAATATCCTCTGTACTGCCGGTATTAAAATCAGGTGACCCAGTCATTAGTTGGGACTAATGATCAAAACTACAGACCGATTTCCATAATACCTAATCTTGGTAAAAATTAATTAAGACTAGAGCGTGTCCAAATAGGTTTCTTTTCTATGCAGCCTATATCCTTAAAATAGTACACCCATCACAAAACTACTCCTTAATTCATAATTTATTGGAAATTCTACTACTTTCATCTCGCCGAAAAGACATTGACGTACAATTTATATCTTCGCTCTTAATAGTCACCACAGATGCTCCTGGTCTCCTATCAAATGTAATTTTTCGTATCCTTTTCTTCTTCTCCAGACACCACTCCCTCTTCTTAGTACCAGCACATAGTATATCCTACGGTAATAACCACCCCTTGCATAGAATGTTTCATAATTTAAATAGCCTTAATTTTTATTTCAACCATAAGTAATTAAATGTACGATTAGTTATAATGTTTTCATATTTAATTTAATTTTTATTTATAATTTTTTTTTTTGTTAGGGTGGTAATATATCACCATCTAATTTATATTTTTTTGTCTATATATTATTTTCGTTGTTACTGTGTATTTTTAGTATTATATTATAAATAACTATTACTTGTAAATCAAACACTAAATGTAATCATAAAATCGCCGACTTGCGTTTATAAATAAATAAATAAATATTGTGAATACATTTATTTATCAAATAAGTATATAATAAATTTATACTGTGAACGGATTTATATAATCTACATTTAAATTCAATATAATATTATAATAATATTGCACATCAATAAGACAATTTTACGACAAGCTACTCTAGAGTTAAACCTTAATGGTAACTGGAAATGCATCTTATTCAAAAACTTGCGTGACTGCTTCCCAAGGAAATTCATTAAAATCATTTTCGACTTCTCCTTCTAAATTTGCTTCGAACGTTTCGACTTTTTGCATGTCAGTTTCTGTTATAAGGATATTATCACTGAAAATTTCAGCCCAAAATTCTACAGGCATTTCTCTAATGAGTAGCCCCTCAAAAACCTTATTCATTATTATTCGTAATTCCTCAGCTTTATTTAGTACACGTTGCAACGGTGTAAACTCTGGAGAACGTATAACTATGAACTCAGACGTACCACTAGATTGTGGTACTTTCTCCGATGATTCCTCCGGTTTCTGTGGTGGTGCTTCAAATTCTTGGGTGACATCTATATCCAAATATCTTACATTGGATTTGTCGTACCACATCTTACCCTTAGTGGCACACAATTTTTCGCTTTCAGTAATTATGCGTCTCTTTAAGTTTTTACACGTTGTCATTAAATCGCTATCGTCAGTAGGTAATCCTCTCAGGATTTCATCAAAAAACGAAACTAACTCGAATACAATTCTGAGTGACGCACCCACAACAGATAATTTGTCTGCGATCATTTCATAATCTTTAATGAGTTTGCGTAAATACTCTTTAAATTCATCGGTGATTCCGTTCAAAAAAAATTTGATTGTTTTTAATTGTGCCAGTGCGTGCTTCTGGAAGAAACACTTAACTGAGTGGCTCAACAAGTGCATTCCGTGGATTATGTACAAGCCCGAAAACGAACAATTATGTACGATATCCTTGATCACTTGGTACGTGTTGATCGGTTCTTTCAAATTTTCTTCCGGAATTAGCTGCATACAAAATGTAGGTCTTGGTTGTGCTAAAATCGGAACTGGATTTAGCTTTTCGCTCCAAATGGCTGACCAATTTTCATCAATGGCCAATGCGATTTTCAGCACCTGAAGGCGTATTTGATATTGGGGGGATGGTTCGTCCATCAATTGACCTGGATAGCAGAGAACTCCCCCACTGATTATAAAAAACAAACTTGTCACCTGCAGACCATTCATCGTCGTACAATTTCGCGGAAAATCGTTTTCGTACGATAAACTGTTCAATTCGGGCGATCAGTTAAAACTTCACCCATTTTTTCGGACGTCTATTTGCACATGTAGTTTGTATGTATGTGTATGTGTGTGTGTGTGTGTGACTTTTCGACACACAATTTTCTTGTTTTATTTGTTTTTAAAATATAATATATCATCTTTGTTTGCACAGTTTTTTTTTCGAGTTCTGAGTACGAATATACGAAACACGTTTTACATTAATCATATGTGCGGTGCGATAATTATTATTTTATTTATTCGTATAAGAAATAAAATCTTTTATCTACACGCTATTACACGGACTAATCGCTTTACAAACACAAAAATTGTGGTACCTACTATATAACGTTTCCGATCATTAACCAGCGATAGTCTATAAAGATTTTAAATAAAATTGATATAATGAAAATTAATACATACGGTAACCGATCGGCTTAATATACGTCCGTGAAGTTAGCCCCCCGACTTTGTCAAATAATTTGTAACCAAACAGTTTTCGAGAGAAAATTCAATTTTTATTTCAGGGAACCATAATTTTATTGAGATATTATTAACTTCTTAGTACGATTTTAGATACCTGTGTGAACTTTGTAGCATAACATTAGTAGATATCAACCTTACCTATCTAACAAATTTGTTGCTGCTTTTTTGGAAATTTTTATGCACCCGTATTAGTTAGCCACCCGAAGGGACTTTTGGCAAATATTTAGCAAACTTTTTGTAACTTTCAGTTACCAACATTTAAAAAGTTCCAACTTCGCTTTTATAACTTTCTCTATAAAACAAGTTGGGGGGATTCCCCCGAATTAGTTTTGGACTTAAGGAAATATTTAGAAACATTTATGCCAGTAATAATCTATAAGTTATAATTATACAAAGTTAAAAATGTTCGTCAAAAATTGAAATCATTAATGTACAATGTACTATTACCTTGAGTTCAAATATTTAATTATACCTAATAAATAAACATCTCGTGAATGTAAAAATTTGAAAAATATTGAATTTAATTTATTGATCTAATATTGTTTTTATAGGTACCTAATTGAAGATTTCTTCTCACAGCCATTAACGTATCCTAAATACGTATTTACATAAATTTTATGTATATGTATTTTCCTGTTATATTCCCACCTAACTTAACCTAATCTAAGATGCACATTTTGAATAGTTCGCTTAAATATATGTAACAATAAAGCAGGGTTTGGGAGGCGACGTTTACCGTGTGGCACATTAAGTGTAACGTCACGTATAGAGTATATGGAGTATTTGTGTAACGGTATGGCACGCGACGTATCATTAATGTACCACTACTTTCCTCCAACCTAAAATTAAAAGTGGAATATCTCGTTAATGAATTGAATAAAATAAAAAATGTTAACACTCAAATATATTTTAACTAATACTCCATATTTTAGGAAAATTTTCAATATAGGTTGTTATTTGAAAATCAAAAGTAGGTAGTTGTCTTACCTCCAAAAATAAGAGTTACAAAAAAACACATAAATATAAAATTGTAGAGTTGGTTGTTTCTTAATTTTTCTAAAATACTAATTCCGAAAAAAGTTATTACTTTCAGAGTGTTCCCACCTAAATTAATCATCCGGTGTACATGTCATTTTATAGTAAAATAATTAAATAGGGTTTATATATTTTCTTTAATAATATTTGTTTAATGTTTTACCGATATACCCAGTTTTTCTACGTTTTTCCCGGTTCTCCTATGTTTTATCCCGATTTTTCACATTTGCTGAAAAAACTCTTAGGAAAATCGAAAAATAACCTCCATAGAGTACCTTCCCGGTCACATTTCCTTTTAGAAAAATTGCTAGTATTTTAAATTGAAGTAAAATTACTGGCGAAAAAGTTGTGTGCACAGGAAATAAGAAAACATCTTTGTAAAATCTTTTTAAAGCTTCTTTGCTCCATACAGAATCTTCAAATACTTTAAATAAATATACAAATTACAATATAAAAAAGAAAAATGTATCAGTTAAGTATCTCAGATAAGTTTATTTTTCGTTTATCTATGTAAGTGAAAATATACAAATATACCTAGATACCTAGAAAAAATGCAATACTGGGTACGACGGCATCGAGTTGATCAGTTCTTCTGAGTTCTTATTATATTTAATCTATATTAGTTTTAAAGTGATGTTTATTTTTTTTTCTGTGGACAATTTTTCTGGTAGAAATTTTGCCGGATTTACAATGCATGTTTATAATGGGTTGCACTTTTTCTGAAAGGAAATCTGACTGGAAAGGTACTTTAGGAAGGTCATTTTTTGATTTTAGTAGAAGTTTTTCCAATAAATGGAAAAAAATTGGAAAAAAACGGGATAAATGTAAGAAAACCGGAAAAATAGATACAATATTAATCAAACATTATTGAAAAAAATATTTCATGTAAATGTTTTAATTTTACCATAATATGACATATACATAGTTGAAACAGCATCACTGTTAACCGAACTCCGCTCAGAATCGCTTTTCGTTAGCAATGGTTAATCGTTTACAGATTACATTTAATTTCCCGTTTGCCTTCCTAACTTCTCACCTGCAACAGTGGCCCACTCACGTGTGAAATATACCTGTCTTTTCTCTAAATAATCATATAAAATTAATATCTAGCTACGATTGAGACTAGCCACGAGACCTCTAAAAGCGCGGGACACTAAGTGAGTGCACAGCTTGGACTGCTTTAAACAAACCGGCCCTGTCTGTAAACAACATTGGCTATTGAACGCTCTGTAGTATTTATAGATCTGCAAATTATTCTAAATAACACATTTAACATACAGGTCCAATTTGTTACTATAACCTTTACCGGTGGTTTTTAAATCGATATTATTAATGGTTATTGTCGAAATTTCTGATAGTGTATTTTAAATTTGTATAGTAAATATGTACATGTTAATATTCTAAATCGTAGATTGTATAACCGTGAATCACTATGGATATTATGGATTCGTTGTCACCATGGATCCATGCAACTGTGAGTCCACGAAAGCATGAAACATCCACAGTTTTATCAGGTATCATTTTTCACCCTTTAGCCTTTTCAAATATATTATGTGGCATGATTTATCCGATAACACTTCAAAATTTACAAATTCTTTTATGCAACACTGTTACATGTTACAGTCTGTTATTTACAGAGCCATTAAATTGCAACTATTATATATATTTTTATAATTTTTATACAAACTAGATTAGTGTCATATAGTAGGTACAAAAAATGTACGTTCTATCTAAACTTACGTTTAGATACTGGATTACTCCAGTAGATTTTATTCTTGATATAACAAGTTGTTTTAACGTGGAAAAGATAAGACATTTTAAGTGAGTATAAAAATGAATAAATTTACTAGTATTAAAAAAAATACAATGAAATTATTAAATTTTTTTGGGGAGGGGGGGAATAACTGAAAAGTATAAAAGTAAAAATGAATACAACAATTTTAGCAACTTTCTGTAGTCAGTTTTTATGTAGGTATTTAAAATTTTAAATAAACAAATAGGTAACACAAAATTGTTTAGGTGTTTAATAGTCAAAAATAAAAAAAATATTTTTTTAAAAAACCACTCGTAATTTACGCCATGTTATAAATGAGAAGCTAGGAAGGTTAGGAAGGTAGGATTGAACGCAATTGTAAATCGTAACAATCAAAAAATTATTCTAAGGGGTGATCGGTAAACTGGTATAATTATAATACTTACGTTTTTTTTTCTTTGCAAACTAAGGTAACTCAGAAATCAATAAAAGTAAAATTGTTGATCTCTATCATCATTATTTTGTAGTTAGTTTTTATTAAATTTTTTAAAGAGCTAGCCAATTTGTTCAAATAAAATACTATAGGGTTGAAATTCAGTAAAAGTGGGGACCTACTGCGTGAAAAATCATGAATATTTTTTTATTCACCAAACAGCATTTTCCAAGAAAAAAACACATATTGGTAAAAATAATAGCTTTTACAATACACTCAGAATCTAAAATATTTATAATGTTATTATATTGGTTTTTTTAGCTAGTCAAAAGTAGGATCATTTTATATGAGATTCATTATATCCATGTGTTGTTTAGTGGTTAAAATAAAAATTAGTATACTATTATGATTATTATTGATAGTAAAAAAAATCATCTAGTCTTATGTTATCTTTTTTAAAAAAAAAAAAAAAACATTTTAAACAAATGTTTATGAAAATCGTAAAAATCGACCTTTGTGGCAATGATTTATCATTGTTTACAGACAAAAATTAAATAACTTTATTTATCCCACCTTCCTAACTTCCCATCTAAAACTGTTACACACCAATCAGCAATATCAACTCTTTTAACAAAATTGGTTCTGTTAAAATAAGTTTAGTTTTTATGTAAATATAGATGTACATATAATATATGTATATATATTATATCTTATTTTGCATTTATATTTTGTCGGGTTTTATTTATTTGTTTTAGTTTTTTTTTTTTCTATTATCTGATAATGATTTTTAAAATTTAATCCTGTAGCAAATAAACACAACCGAATATAATCCCTCTGTACTCTGTGCTTTGTTTTTTCTTTATATATGTCTTCATACTTATTAATTTTATATACCTACCTATATTTCATATTTAAAATTTAAATGCTATTTTATAACAATTAACTAGATGTTAAAATAATAACACAAATTAAATTTGCATCAAATACTTTGTTGTTTTAATTATGAATAATTAATACAGTTTTAAATACACGTAGTGAAAATAATCATAAAATATTATATTATGCACTCCTGTACAAAATAAAGATTTTTCACGATAATATGAAAACACTTATTATTACTTTTTTATATATTTGTACATATTTGACATAATAATAGATACCCAATATTGCATACAGTAGCGTGCGATCAATAAGTGTACGTATAATAGACTGCTGTTATTATCATACGCATGCGAGCTAAAATAAAAATTAAGATTTAATTTTACTGTAATAGGCATCGTCATCTCCGTCAATGTCGATGTTTTTGTCAAAGTGCAGGAAACTATTCCAGTGAAATTTGGTCATGCCGATGGTGGACGGCAGGCCGGCAAATTGCTCCGTAATCCTATTCATGCTGCTGTTAAACATTTCTTTGAATGTCGCTTCGTCTATATGTTTGGACTCGGACGGATTGAACAGGCCAGGGTGTAAAACCACGTCGAGTTCCTTCGCTATTTCCGTCATTCCGGATATCTTGATATCTGCATCCGTATGGATAAACCTGTGACAATGCCTACAGATGAACTTCATCATGACAGTGATCAAATCATCTAGGTTTTGAATGTAGCTGAACTTAAGCTCGATTATCTTATCCAAGCCCTTATCGTAAATGTTGAAAAACTTGGCCATCCTCAGAAACACACCGTCCGATAACTGCAACGCGGCCATTTTCATCATGATGTCAGCCACGATCGCCTTGACTTTTAATGACCAATGTGCCGCTCTATTCTGTGGATTACTGCGACTGATCTCTACCCGGATCAATGTTAGCAGTATCGAAAAGTGCTTGTACGCTAAACATTTGAACGATAATTGCATTATCTGGAAAACAGAACTTAATAGGGTGCCCACCCGGTACCATTTAATGAACAAATTTCTGAGAATGTATTTAGGTTTGATCGGGTCCACCGGTAGTACCTCATGCACCAGTACATTCTCAGCGCCGTCATTTTCCTCGATAGGAATGGTTCTCCTTATAATTTCAGTTTCGATAGCACCCTTCATTATGTCCTTTTCAATGATTTCCCGGTAAAAATTCTTATCAAATTCATAATAAACGCTTTGTTTGAACACATACTTCCACAAGGACTCTTGTTTCAGCATGGTCGATAGGAATACGAGTTTCGTCCGGTAAGTCGTGTAGGTTTTCAATATTTCCAAACACTGAGCTGTGAAGCAAAGGCAGGTCATTAACACTAGAGCACTAGCACCTATCCGCTTCGATATCACCATGTTTGATGATGACAATAGTGTTTATGAATTTTTATTTTGTTTCCCGTCCTGACGCGATCCAACCGAACTATAGATGTTTTCGTGGTGTTGGCGTCGTGCCGAATGCCGTTGATGTTCAAACAAACCGTAACAGCAAACACCAAACAAAAAAATTCCCCCGTCACCACCATTGCGAATGTTAGTGAAGAAATTAAAAACAACAGCTGGCGTGCCGCAAAAAATAATACGTGTAAAGTAAATATCTAAGCGAAATCAACGCAAACATACAACTCATTGAGATTCATTCTAATAACATAATATAACACATATTACTAAAATTGACGATAGAGATATAATATTATCGATTATAACTCACCTATCGCATAAAAACTACTCGGGAAACGACGCTATAGAAATTTTAAATTTTAAATTTTCACAGAATATCAAATTATTATATTTTTGCTGAAGATCCTCCTCCATTGCCACGCAATATGTTAATATTATATTTGGTGGTCATAAAACACAGGCGCACGTTTTTCGATGACTTATATAATTTTCCCTAATGGGCACTATACAATAACAAAACCATTTCTTAGTTTCAATATACTTACTTAGTTACTTATCAACGATATCAACGTATACTTCAACTTGGCCGTTTTTATATTTTTTGGTTCATAGATAAAGCGTGTTTTAGATATTGTGTTTCTGTATAATCGGTAATAACAGTATTACACTTTCTCCTAGTAACCAATTTCATAAATCATCCTAGGCGAGGAGTTGTGCAGTTCGCAACTCCTGCGCCACAGGGGCATGCGGGTCTTGAATATCCACGAATTTTATCGTCAGACGTGCTATGAACAATGAAAAATGAGGTAAAGGCATACCACTAATATATTATGATCAATTATTATTGATAATCATTAGACAGGAATAAATAAACTACGTAAATTTTATTGATACGGGCCTCTTAAAATGTTTTATTCTACATCAATCTGTGTAGGTACATTGATGAAGACGGATTTTTTTTCGGTGACCACATTACATATCATTGCTCACAAAAATATTGAGACATATACATAAAAAGCTCTTATTTTATTAAATTAAACACTCGATCTGATTTTATAAAATTACGTGCAATATTGTATGTCTAATAATTCTCAAGCAAATTGAATATTTTACATAACATATTTATTTTATTAGATATCATCATTACAGTAATGATAAAACATCAGTCGTTTAAATAAATTTTTGTTGTATTTAAATATGTATTATAATAATACGATGATAAATTATATTCCTAATATTATATATTTAATGTAGTTATGGTGTTGGGTTAATTGGATTAAATTGATTTAGTTGGATTAGTTACTCATCGTACTTAAAACAAAAATATCATCGATTGTATTACAACTTGTATGTACAGTACATTGAAATATTTCAATCGATATTAAGTTATTAAATCAACGTGGTTTATTTTGAAATATCAGTACAATAAAATATTAAAATTCAAAAGATAAATTAAAAATTATACCTATCTAAAGATACATTGTTGTTAATGTTATTTTTTTTTAACACAAATTTACCTTTAAATAATAATACATTATGAAGTATTCAATGAATTAAATTATGAATATAATTAATTAAAATAAAATTGCATATTGTTACAGAATAGAATTCGAAATTGAATTATTTAGCTTGTCAGTTACTCGTTACTTAGTTAGGTTGAAGTATTCATGTCATTCCAGATATGACTCCCTCATCAAATCCCGGTTGTATTGCTTCTAGTTCCATGCCACGCGGGCTTAAGTTTCGGATAATTTTTTCTCTCCTGTCCATCTTTCCTTTTAGTATATGTTTCCCTACATCGTCACCACTCAACATCTCGTCTATTTTTAGATAAAGATTTATATCTTTTTGTATCGGGGTTCGGAAATCTAAAATTTGCTTCCAATTGTCGTAGTCCATCGATTTAATGTTGAACTCTTCATACATTTGCATTAGTTTTTCATTGAGAATTTCGAATACGTCTAAGATTTCATTGTGTGTAGACTCGGTTCCACTAAGATGACTGTGATTAGCACCAATACCGAAAAATCCGTATATAAATTCGTGGTCGTTTCGCACACATCTACTGTTGATTATTTTGTCTATTTCGGTTTGCATTAATCTCAACACGTGCATTTGATTTGTTTCATTTTTCAACGCGAGTTCGGTGTATTCATACGATAAGTCGGCCAACATTTCAAGGTCACTATGGACCGCGCCTAACTTATCCATAAACACGGTTAGCGTTTTCCATGCATCTTCGAACGTTTTATTTGTTATTTTTTTAAACTCCACGTCTTGGTTTAATTTTTTCTCCATTAATATGATCAGCTCCATCTGGGTCGACACGAACGTATACGTAGTGCACATAAACGCCACCTGGAGTACACTCGCAGCATAGTCGATGAGTGAGCCTAACCACCAGAAATTCCTTAAGACTTTTTTGAGCACGGGGTACGGCGTTATATGGGTAACGTCGTTGCTAAACAAGCGCAGACTTTCACGGACTTGTTCGTTTACCTCTTCGCCTTGATACGGAGGAAGCATTCTATCATCAATCCTGATCTTCTGATTCAGCACCAAACGGAACTTTAGATCATTGAGCATCACGAACTGAAACAATTCCAGCTCCTTGGACTTTCCCGGGTCCGGGCGCTTAACTACGAACGCTTCGGCATCACGCGGCCAAAATGCATACAGCAGCAGTAGCGAACCAAACGCCGATAATCTGAAGTAAACGGTACTCACCATGGTGTACTTCGGATTGTGTTTATATGTGTGATATACTTAAAAAAAATAAAAACAACAATAAAAAAAATCGAATATCTACCTGCGTTCACAGACTTTGCTTGATAGTGTTGTACGGCGGTAGCAGCGTCAATACCCGTATGCGTGTAAGTAGTTATATTGCTATACAAATAAAAACGATTTTGACGACGCGCGCAAGTGTGCGCACTGTTTTCTTGTACCTCCCCGCACGACCTCCATGAGTGTAGAAAATATAATGCGCACACTTTTCATAATTTTGCCATAATATGAAAATCTGTTTGTTTACATTTTAAAATTCCAACATAAAATGCGATAGGATCAGAATAATATTAATACGTTTTATTGGCTTTCGGAATAATAAACGTTTGATATAATTATTTGTCTCGGTATTTATAAAGCATTATAAAATACCTAGTAGAATTGTATTAATTATAATATTATTCATTATTTATCAACTTTATTAGAAATATATAAAATAAATAGCAAAGACTGTTATTGAAAAAAGTGTTAAATCGAACGATGTCAGGACAGACCAATGTTTCCGGGTTTCTAAACGTATTTTAAACAATACTTCCCGTCACTGCCGGGTTTAAAAAAGTTTTTTAAAAATTAAATTAATTAAAATGTTAGTTAATAAATGCATGTATACACATAAATAATTAATTAAAATGATAGTATTTCCTTATAAACTACATTCATTGTATGTCTATTGTTGTTTGGTATTATTTGTATTTTAAATTGTTCAAAAGATCTAACTTTGGGATATCGCAACATGAGTAGTTGACCATAACTAAATACAGATTGGGGTAAACACAACCTTACTTTATCCAACGTTTGCCTAAAGAACTCTGTTTATTATCATAGAAAATACTATTCTTATCGGAAATTTATATCTTGTAAATTAAAAGGTAAATGTAGAATCCGACGTGGTCAAATCAATTCTAGAGAATAAAATACGCTGGCCAGTTCCTTGCCCAGTTATATATTCTACGTCTAAAAAGTTTTCGTACTTATTTCGCATCATTCATTAGACTGGACACTACATTTAAATGTCTTAAGAGTATAGCGATAGAACTTTGTTTTAGTGTCAAACTGTGCAAGCCACTCAAATGTAAACTATCTAGAATTCTGTAAAACATTGAAAATGGTCACAGCATTCCGACACAGTGTTTAAACTTCAATACGATTTTCTTGCCCCTGCAATAATTTTAACAATTTTTTTTATTGTTTCATCACATTTAGTTTTTCAGTTTATATTTAGGTGCAAGAATAACATTTTGTAAAAATATAAATTTATTTTCTAAATTCAAAATAATATCCCCAAATACGTCCTTTATTATATCACTTGATAACAACGATGGATTTATTTCAATTAAAATAGGTATCTCACTTGGTTTTTTGATTCAAAATGAGTAAATACTTTGGTTTATACTACAAAACAATATGGAAGTTACTATGGTAATATAACGTTAGATTAAAATATAATATATAACGTACGCCGCTATGTAACTACACGGAAAACTTATTAACTAATAACTATTTAGATAATTAATTTTAATATTAATAAATTGTAAGTATGCTTAATACTTGAGATTATTGGATATTTTATAATTTTTTATAATTTTATCATGATACATTAGGTACCGTTATTATGATGATCGAATTATTACTCTTCCGTATACCACCGGGGTAAATTTTAAACTGTTAAAAATTAAAAGTATAGCTCATAAACGGTAAGTCCGAAATTATTCGAGCATATTGAATCATTAATTTTTTGAGTCCGTGTTTAAAGGGGTGGGGAAGGTTGTCATTTTGAAAATCAAAATTTAATCCTCATTGAAAGTGTAAGGGTAAACATTTGAAAATAGTGTTGAAATAAAGATTATGATTATGATTCAATAATGATTGGCAAAATAGAAATCGAAAAATTATCCGAGAAAATCGCCTTGTAAATGTATTACAGGTAAAAATAAATTTCGTTTTATATTTTATATAATGTTGTGTATATCATAAGTATTAATAAATAATATTATTATATCACCATGGCTAACACCGAAACAAATTGACAAGAGTACTTATAAAATACGACTTCGTCGAATTCCCCTATTTCAAAAAATATAGTAATCTAGCGCACGTGGTCCAATTCAACAAACACTTGTTTCGGACCCTAACGGAATATTTTTTAACCACGTTTTTAAATGTAAAAAAAAAAAATCAAACTTCAATTTCATCGTATAAATCACTTGGCCGTCGACCAGATGTTGGTTTTTTTTTTCATCGCAATGACAATAAACGAGGTTCACTTGTACAAATCCTAATTTATTGGCCGAAACTGTCAGAGTAATAATAGTAATCGCACTAAAAATCACCCCCAGTCCACCCGCTTTAGCTTTTGCAACACCAGAAGATGTTTGTTCTTTATATTATTTTATTGTCTGTCTCTGGTTGTGTCGGGGAATTGTGTTGGTATACAGAAAAAAAAAAGGGGTGTAACAATTACGAGTCAAACAAGGAGAATAGGATAAAACGAGAGTTTGTCAATTTTCTAGGATTATGTAAATAAGGACCGTCGACAAAAGAGCTCGACTGTTGGGTAGGCAGTAATTTAAATTAAATTATAAATTCCGCAAAGCCCGTATCATTTAAGTACTGTCAATAAAAATATAAAATGTTGAATTCTTAATTGAATAAAAAAATAAGACGTTTAGCTTGGCAATAATAATGTATTTTAACCCTATGTATTTAAACTAAAAAACTTATAATTTTCTAATAATAATGTATTATAATTTATCGAATAATAAAAATATGAAATAATTTTAAAGTTTTCTTAATAATCAACGAATAGTTTTGTAACTATATGTTGGATACCTATATTATATTATCTCGATAATATAATGGAACAAAAACAGCATTTTTGAAGGGGTATAAATTAATCAAATTTTCATATTAGTTCATTCATCGAATACAAAGTTGTATAGGTACATGGTTTTAGATTCGGAGCGAAACGAACGATATATTTCACTATGATGTGTGTGTTTTTTTTTCTGTCTGTAAACAACTTTTCGAAGAAAAGAACTTATCCCGATAAGTGTAAGTAGTTGGATCCTTTCTGAAAATAAATTTTATCTAGTTGATTCATAAGAGAGATCGTGTTTTCGATTTTCTAATGGTTTTCAAAAATAATTAAAAAAAAAAAAAACAGCAAAAAAAACGTAGAAAAACGGGAAATTTTACGGAAATGGTGGTTTCATTATTTTCAATTTTGTTTTTTTGTTGTCATTCAGTGAAAATTACTCGTGGAATTTCGTAATTTTGACAGATACCTTATGTTTGCCTTTTTCTATATGACTTTTACGAGTTGATCATTTCTCTTTTTTTTTTCGTTTTTCCACCCAACCCCTTAAATATTATAAGCGTGTATAGCGTTCCAATTTAACCAGCGATGTCGGTTGAAAACGTATATTAATGAACGTACGTGAACGCGGAGTCCGCGCGTACCTATACACGCGGATGAACAATTTGTACTCACGCGTATACAATCAAATGCACGTGAATTGACGGGGATATCCCGAGTGCGTCCCGTTTAACATTTTTGCCTTTTTCATAACCCGAGTGTGTCCACAATCTTATCGACAAATTAAATTAAATTTTCTGAGTTTGGCCACAGTCGTATGGTAAATTCTCCGCAAACTGTAGGTACCCATTTTATATTTAAGATTTAAACAGTGAGAAAACAGAATTGTATTTCAATATTGATAATAACTAAGCTAGACTACGGCTAATTCGCCAATTTACCATTACACAACTATGTTTTATGAATATTAAAAATTTTAAAGATTAGACACTTTATACATTTTAATAATACATTATACCTTTTTGTTATTTCACTATCCGCAATACAAAAGAACACTGGGATAACGTCAAAAATATCGAGCCACGTAAAACATGTGAAATTTAATCGACAGAATTTAGGACTTAATGGGACTTTTAATTATTTTATACAATTAACAAATTATCAATTTTATTTTATCTTCTTCGTAAAAAATATGGCTTATTGAAATATTTTCTGGTTACCTTGACATTGAATATTTAATAGGTACATGAAAGTTAAAGTGAATTAGTGAAATATAATACCTAAACTAACTTAATTATATACTTGCAAATAACAGAAATATAAATATAATTAACAAAGTATTAAGAATCGAGTATCAGTTTGGCAATAATTCATATTTTTAGCCCGGGGGTACCACCACCTAATTGGTCATGAGGCCATCGCCTCATGAAATACCCTATCATTCCGCCACTGCTCGTGGTGCACCACGGGTAACTCTAAACGAACTGGGACGCACTCGGGTAACCCCGGAATTTACTGCCCGCACGTTCACATGGACTAGCGTTATTCGCGTATTTTCGAACATTTGTTTAGACGGTAATACACAGGTAAGTATACTGTACCGAATGCGTTAAATTCACTATGGATATTGTACAATTTTAATTTAACATGTTATCGTTAAAATAAAATCGTTGAACAACATTACACGTTTTACTAAACATCAAAACACCGAAATACGCGAACGCGTGAGTATACACTTGGCCAATAATAATTACGCGTGTTGCGTGCACGCGGACTTTTCAAGTACGTGATTTTACAGATTCTAATGTTAATTTCGCGGGCTAACTAATTGTTTAATGTTTTAACTTTTGACAATTTCTGTTACTTTGTATGCAACAACCTATCATACATTTTACACACTATCAGTTCACGAGTTTATTTTGTGACTATTAGGTACCCGGTTTCACAGAACCGCGGTTATAGCTGGAATATATTTACACATATATAGACCATAGACACATTAGGACGTGCATAAAAGTTGATGTGTGTGTGTGCATATTATGTATAGGAATAATTTTATCATAGAATAGATTACATTTAATCAGTTAATTTGTGAACAGTCGCCGTCATTTTCTATTGTCCATTTAGTTAAGTGATTAATGAAAAAGTAAAAAGTGAATGATAATATTTTAACTGTTTAATTTGTTCGTCTTCGATGTGTTTACTGTTTTGAATTTTATATCGTAAACATTAAATACCTAATGACTAAATATTTTGTGCTTTAGAATCGATTAAATGGATTAGCAATGTTATCGGTTCATAAAAATGCTTACATAGATCCAGATGTTGTGTTTTAAATGAATCGGCTCTAAAGCCAAGAAAATTGAACCT